AATAGAACTCCTGCTCAATGGCTTGGCTTCATAAACTAGGATTGTTTCGGGAAAGAAAAAATACTCGTTAACCGCCAAGAACTGAAATAAAAAAAGATCATCTTCAGAAAAACTGTTTAAGTGGACAGTCGTCTTGCTCAGGCTTGAAATGAGGGTTGTGAACAGTGACTCTGCAGTGTCCGTACTCCCAAAGCCATCTATCCCCATGCAGGCGAGCCCGTGGCTGGTGTGTGGTCTGAGAGCTCTGCTCACGGGGCAGGGCCGTGCAGGAGCCGCTCCACCGCACTGCGAGCGTGCTCCAGCCGCAAGCTGTCAGACCAGCCTGCGAAGGAAGGACGGGCTGGTTCCGCGTTCACTCGCTCATTACCGCTGTCAGCACAGGCTGGTTTGAAACTGGTCACCCATGAGGAAGAGTTTTCTGATTCATCACTAATCCTTGAAGCCACACAGTGTATGTCTTTCTCTCATCTACAGGATTTAATTGTAGCCTTAGATAATGTTTGGCAGGTGCTTTTGTTTGTGCCTTTCAGCCAAAAATTAAGAATATCTTATTCCACTGACTTTTGACTTTTTCAGTCCTTAATCCATTTGTTCTGATACTACTCCAGCGCTTTTTTTTAGCATTAAGGATAAAATTAAATCTGTGGCATTTTATTCTGTGTTGCTTTCTTTTTTTTTGATAATATTACAGTTTTTGAGAGTTATGACCAAGGGGAGAGATGTTCTGTCCTGTCTTGCGCTAACCCATGAAACACAGAAGGTTGTGCAGTAGTACCAGGGTTTTTGTAAAGTAGAAAGCAGCCACTGAGGAGAGGACTGATGACGCTCGCTTCAGAGGCATCTGCATTGGAGACTGTGTGGCAAGTTTTTGCTGTGAGAGCTGAAAGATGCAGACATACATGAGCAAACATGAGAGGCTGTCTGTCCAGCATAGAGTGACGTGATCATACATGTCAACAGACGTGTCAGTTCATCCGGTGAAAAGTAACGGCAAAGCTGAAGGTGAGACGGATGGGCTGCATAGGTGTGGATGATATTAAAGCAATCAATCCACTTGGCCATCCTTTTTGTCCTATGCATATGTGTAGCTTGCTCCTCTTCTGGAGGTCTGTCTTCCTCTTTAAAAACCTTTGTAACTGGGAAGCTTAGAAGATGGGCATTCTTGTTTGCAATGGTCGCAATGAACATTCATCCTCCTCAGTTTATTTCTGAGTCGTGCTTGTATCTAAGCTGTGGGAATGAATTGAATGTGCCATCCAAGCTTATCTGTTCTCAGAGCTCATTTCCACAATATATTACCCTCATGGAAACTGTTTCCTGTTTTCTGCTCGTCTCTGTTTCCTCCTACTTCTACTTTTCTGGTGCTGGCCTCTTCAGTTTTTCTCCGTATGCAGCCTTGTTAATATCAGAACAGGAGATTTTTTTTTTTCCTTTGTAACATCTGTACCAATTCCTGTGGTTTTCTACCTTGTCAATTCTCCATCTTTTTTTGTCTAATCTTGCCCATAGTGTTCTGCGTCCCTGGAATACACCTCTTGCTTTTTGCGTCTCTGCAGTTTCAATATTGCACATACTTTCCTCAGGCAAGTCAAAACTATTTTGGGATGCAGTGTGACTGAAAAATGCCGAGTGGCCAAAATCTATCTTACGAGCAGGTGACTCCTCTGACAGGGCTGCATCCTGTAGCTGGCAGGGGGGCTCTGAGCTGGATCCTGCGCGTGGGAGCACATGAACTGCCGGAGATCTGGGGATTTCCTGGGACTCAGCTGTGTGCCTGGCTCAGTGCTGTTCAGCAGTGAAGGGATGGTACCCACGAGCACAGTCCTTACCCATCTCTGAGCTATGCCTGGAAATCATCCTACACACTGCTTTGGCTAGGGGTAGGAACTTTACTTCCAAGGACTTCACAGTTAATGACTTTCTGTTTGTTGCTGTAGGAACTTTACTTCCAAGGACTTCACAGTTAATGACTTTGTTTGTTGCTTGGTCTCTGGTTTATTTTTATTTTCCCAACCCTGATGGATTTTAGCGCTTCATTATTACAAGGTTTTGTTACCGAGAACTGTGTCATAACAAGCAGTATTTTCAGTCTTGTTACTAGAAATATGTACATGTTGAAGGACCTAGTGTTTAGTTAGTTCAGAAGTTAGGAGTTGAAGGTACTGATTGTTTCTAAGATGAGTTTAGACCTGGATTGTAAATGTAAGTAGGGAATTAAATACCTTATCCACAGAACCAGAGGTTGTCTCAATACTGTATGGAAAACTTTCAGTTTGCACCTCTGCCAGCTCTTCAACAATACAGGGTTGAAATTATATTCATGTTTGTTAATCTTTCTATTGAGTGTTTGTCATGTCTGGGACACCATTTTTTGGAGCATTGGCTCAAGCCAGTGACAGATCCTTTCACATTTCTGCCTAAAATATTGGGACTACTACCAAGGAAGTCTAGCGGTTATTAACACAAAGACCCTTGGCATCTAGTGAGGTCAGGGAGGGCGTGATGAGACTGAAACCCAAAGAGCAGGAAACAGGGAAACCAACTGCACTCCAGCATGAAACTTTCACTGAGGAAATACAGTTTGTAGGAGGAGGCTACTGTGTGGTTGTAGTAAAAGCATACACTTGAGGAACAACTGCATTGATGTGATTTCATTTTATTTCTTATAAAATGAAGGCTATCTCCTTTCTACTTTTCATATAGGACTAGAAAGTCAGGCTTCAGCTCAGTTACTCCTTTTACTTAAGTTGTAAATATTTGATAACACTGTATTTAGAATGATGTTGATCATTCCATTAAAATAACTTGTTGCATCTGCTAGCTCCAATATGTGTGTACATTGACTGATCTGTGCCGAGAACTGCAGTGGGAAGTAGTGGTGAGGACTCTTCAATGTTCTGCTGATAATTGGCTGTTTCTGATCTGTCTTCTGCCACCACTCAGTTGTGTGGCCATGGACAAGTCATTTCACTTTGTCAGGCTTCAGTTTGTTCATCTCTAAAACTGACAAGGTGAATTGTCACGCAAATTGACCCTGTGTTTCAGCACCTATTATCCAGTAAGTTGGCTTTGGGGACCCAGCAACAGATTTACTAAGCATGTGGTTTCCATTCTTTCCCCCAACCACATAAATCTTTGATTACCTAGTGGAAGCAGTGGCCCCAACTTCCTTGACCTTGGATCTTTTTTCCTTCCCAAAGACTAGGATCAGGAAGATCACTTGTTTTTCCAGTAGTTTGATCTTAGGGCAGACTAATGTATTTCATGTGAGGTGGTGAACTACTTCAATGGTGAAGAGTTTTTGGTTTTTTGTTTTGGTTTGGTTTTTTTTATATAGTGTTGATGTATGTAGTTCCCATGCTACCCTTACATGAAAAAAAAATTCCTCTCTAGTTGGTTGTTCTTGATTTGGAAGTAATAAACAGGCTGGATCATTGTAAGCGACTCTGTAACTGAAATGATACTGACTGGAGCAGGAAAGATGCAATAATACCAAGAGCTGCCAGAGCTATGAGCCACCTGCTTTTCATATGTGTCACATTTATCATGTGGAATCAGACGTGTACATTGACTGAGCACTGGAACAGGTTGTCCAGAGGGGTTGTGGAGTCTCCATCCTAGGAGATACTGAAAAGCCATCTGGACATAGTTCCGGGCAGCTGGCTCTAGGTGGTCCTGCTTGAGCAGGGGAGTTGGACCTCCAGAGGTCCCTTCCAACCTCAACTGTTCTGTGATTCTGAAATTCAGAAAGATGTATCCAGAGTGATGAGCTTGTGTTTCCAGGGAGAAAATTCTAGTGCTGATTTCTTTTCTGTCTCTGTCCTACTAATGTGCCCTTAAATGAAAGCCCCAGTTCTGCCATCTGCTGTGGCTCAAGGATTTCTCAGATACAGCTTTGCAGGCCTTTACGGTCTAAAGATTGTTGCGGCAGAGAGCTTTCGTGGCTCCTAGCTGGAGAACCCTTTAGGCTGAATGGCATTTTCCTGCTCCCTCACTGATGTTGAAGTGAAGGAAAGCTGCCACAGCTTTAATGGAAAGTACTGCACAGTTAGGAGAAAATTGACTGCCCCCTATGTTGCTTTGCTGTCTGCTGGTTTATAAATTGTAATGCTTTTCATTAAAAAAGGAGGGGGGGGGGGGAAGTGTCAGGTCTCTGTGGGTCCCAGATCATTAGCAGGATCAATTCCTTTTTCACTGCAGAGATCAGAGGCTACAGTCTTGCATAGCCAGTCCTTCAGCTGCTGACATACCAAGCAAACAATGCAGAAGCAGAAGAGCTGGTGTTTGGCTGCCTGAATTGCTATACCTGTGTTTTTGTTGTGATAGAAAATTATTCTTTGGAGCCTGTGAAATTATTTCAGTCCCTTGCAGGATTTGGTCAGAACAGTCTCATCAGCTCCAGTACTAGAAATGTTAAATGCCGTAACTTGGGGCTTGCAGTGAAAAAGATTTTTTCGGTTGCTTCAGGAAGTTGGTAGTAGGATATGAAACTTTAATGTCCAAAGGAGGGCTGGTAATAATTTGAGATTGTTGACATCTGAAGATGTATGCTCTGGTGCTGGCGTGAAAGAAGTTTGATGTGACTCAGTCCAGTTCCACAGCCCTAGCCCACCACCACTGCTAACATGATTTGCAACCCTACTGGAGGTGCCAGTAGATACATCTGAGAGCTGAGTATATTGAACAGACTGAATTTACTTCTTAGTCATGGATGTGGTTGAGTCACAAACTTGTGTGTTCTCAGTAAACACTGTAACTGTTCTGTGAATAAATAGAAGAACCCAGTTTACAGAGGGTTGTAAGACTACATCATAAGATGCCATTCTTCTGCTATGACTAGTCTTAAAGTGTGGCTACGAGCATACCATTTAACCTTTTGCTGCTTTAACCTCTCATCCCCTGCAGAATGGGGTTCATGGGGTTGTTAAAATTGGATTATAAATTGCTCTGTAATACTACATAGCATGAGGCATTCTCAGTTTTTTGCTTTCCCTCTCTAGGGTGGATACATGCGGTTTATACTCCAGTAGATTCTCTGGTGTTTGGTGGAAATATCCTGCATAGCTTTAATGTTCCCATGCAGCTTCGCATCTATGAAATTGAGGACAGAACAAGGGTAAGGATACTTGATTCTCTTTTTAACTGAACAGTTCTTTGTGACTATGATCAATCATAGTCCCTCTCTCTCGTATTCCCTTCTGACAAACAAGAACCGATGGGATCTCCGTGTCAGAGTCGTTGAATCAAGAGGTAAATGTGAAGTAATGAGACTTTCAAATGTTGGCTATTTTTAGTGGGATTTACTCATCTGTTTTTCCCTACTTCCCACAGACGTGTCCCTTCTGTGTCTTTTGTCTGCCTGTTAAACTTTCATAAACAACTTCCCTTTTGCACAAAAACATATTGCGCTTTACAGACCTTTGTACCAGTACTTCTGGTAACCCCCTGCTTATCATCTCTCTGTGCACACCTGGAATGGATACCTGAGCCTGGAGAACTAATGGGACTAGGATGGTTCTACTGTCCACAGCTGAATTGACAAAGCTGCACAGAAGTTGTGCATGAAACGACGTCTTCTATACTTTGCAGGATTTTCTTCTACAGTGACTCGATATTATGCAAGAATTTCTTGGAACAAAGAGGGTCTGGGGTGGGACATTAATCTGAACATTGTGATGTTCATCTGGCTGTAGCATCTACCTGATGGAAAGAGTATTACATCTTGGAGAAGGTTGCTGTGTGGCCTCTTTGTTGGGAGTGAAAATTTTATCCTTGATTAATAAACGGGACACCTAGTCATCATACTTTGCAGTTTCATAAAGTAGCAGAATCTGAAGGAAGTGCCACTGTTTTAGTAGGCACTATATAAATAAGCAATGCAAGGTAGTCATAGCATTCTGATGCAAAAATGGACCAGTGGTATGTGCAAATTCAGATGGGGACTTTTTGTGGCTGACTGTTTTGGAGGCATTGGTAGACCACTGGCACAGGTGCCAGCTGTGGTGTTAATGGAGATTTGGGCTGGCAAAATGGCAGGAAGTTGCGATTCATTTTCACTAAAAAGTCTTAAAATGGGGTGTCTTGGACATCAGTACAGATCACTGTTGCTCACCTCTACAAGAGGGCACAATTCTGGCTCCAAGTGCGCTTTTACCCCACATCGCTCTCTTTGCAGTGAAAGTGCATAGGCCTGAAGCAAATATGTATTGTTTCAAAATGCATCTTTGACTCAGCGAGAGGAAGGGTGTCCGTCCCCCAGCCTCTCTCTGCCAGTGTTGTGGTAGGAAGGGACTGCTCCCTTACTTCACAGCGGGTACGAGGTCTGGTAATCTTCACATTGCAAAACACTGGTGGGAGCACTTGGTTTCCTGGAGTGACTTTAATGAAGAGAAGGAATATTAAGTGGAAAAATGAATTCTTAGTGAAAGAGAGATGAAGACAAAAGCGGAAGTTCAGGGGAATTAGAACAGAGGGAATGTAACAGAGAGCAGAAGTGGAGGTAGAGACCAGAGTGGTGTTCAGCCTGGCTTTCAGTAGGCGTCTCAAAGCAATATCAAGTGTCTTAAGAGTAAAGGGACTCAGACAGGTAAAAGTTACGATGTCAGAAGCAGGAAGGGGCTCACTGTGGCTAGACAGAGGTGCTAGGCACAGGAAGGTTTTCAGAGTGACTGTAAATGAGAACTAGCAATATGTGCTGGTTGTATATGCTGCAGGTGCTCAAGGGGAGGGTGTGTTGTTGCCAGGAAGGATGCTAGCACAGACAACTTGTGTGGAGAATGGAGAAGTGAGGACCGGGAGGAAGGATTGATGCCAGAAACAAGTTATTTCCATTGATGTCTATGGGGAAGACGGGAAGGAAACACTCTTTTTCATGAAGTAGTAGAAGAGCTGACATTTTGTTCCCACAGGACTTGAGCAACCCAAGATCACACACCTTGGTTGTAATCGCTCAGTAGTGCTTCGTGTCAGGCCCCTCTCCTTGGGAAGCTGGGTGCAGCTTTGATCTCCTAAGCTTTATACCAGGAGGCAGATTTCCCCATAAGAGTCAAGTGTTTTGGTAACACTTAGGAACTTACCAGCCGGTTACTCTGAAATGCCTTTGAAGAGGCACTGGCACCTTGATGCTATGGGAAGGTTCTGCGAGTTGGGTATCTGCCTCTTTGAAAACATCCCGTCAGAGTTTTTTGGAAAGGGATACTGCAACATGTGGAAGTCCCAAATCAGACCTTTACTCTTGTCAGTTTTGGGTTTAGATTTTCTTCAAAGTCTGTGTAGCTCATCATTTTCCCTCGAAAAATACTTGCGTGCTTTAAAAGAGACTAACAAAAGCCAAGAGCCCAGAATTTCCATGACTTCGTAGAAACAATTTCAGCGCTTGTATGTTGCTGTATGCTAGCAATGTGTTATGCACAGTCTGTACCTGTGTTCACAAGCTTGTGCTCGTAGGCAGCCGTATAATAACAAAGCTGTGTGAACAGTCGAAGAATAGCAAGAATTTCTAGACAGAAACAAAATATAAGCTGTGCAACTAAGGCATACAGAAGTTTGATAAAAGGCAGGAAAATCAATACTGTTATTTAGAAATAATAACACCCCCCCCACCCCCCTAAAAATATCATGCAGGAATCTTGAAGGGGTAAATGTTTTCAAAATAGGATTCTAGTGTGTACTACTTGATTTTCTTTGCCAATCAAATTTTGTAATTTCTTTGTTCAAATAATTCTATTCATACACTGGCTAGTACAGCAGACTCAGTACAGTCTGTAGTTCACACAAATTTGCCAGTGTGAACATACTGCAAATGAGTTTCTCATCAGTATTGATCTTTCCATTGTGTATAGCATAGAAGTAAATTACATGATGTGATTGACGAAGTAATTTGCCACACTCAAATCAAAGTGTAATACAGGTGTGTTTCCCCTCTTCATTTTGCACAGAGCAATTTTATGGAGGTTTCACTGTATTTAAACCTGCTATATAATGCTTAATCATATTTGATCGCTGATACTCAAAGTCATTTTTATGCTAGGTGTAGTTGTTATTGTTTTAGCAGCTAAGACGAGAATAAATACATGGTTGAAACAGTAATGCTGATTTACAGCCTGATAAAATTGCCTAGTTTATATACTTGTCATGCTTATTCTAGCTTAATTTCTCATATCCCTGGGAGACTTTTTAAGAGGGTTGTAGCCATTTAAAAATACTTTTAAGGAGTAATAAAAAACATGTCTATTGTTGGAAACAGCTCCTAATGTGCAACTGAGGTAAACAAATATTCTCCAGCCTTACAGTTTGTGGAGACTCTCATTTTGCAGTCTGGCTTTCCTAGAGGCCAATTAACAGCTAGTCAAATAGGCCAAGCTGTTTAGCTCTCTGCTAGACCAGCTTGGATAACTGCAGAGCAGGCTGCCACGCAGAGATGCATCATCTTGGCATAGGGGTGTTACAGCTCTGTATTACTGAAGAGGAAGAATGTGTCAAACTTACTCCCAACTCATCTAAATTTAACCGCGTTAAAATATTTGAACATGGACAGGGACAAAAGCACTCAAAATATATACGTAAGGTGGTCACTCACAGATGATGGTGTTTGCTACTGACTTTGTTTTCTGGACTGTAAGATAACGTTTTAAGTGGATAGATTAATTATTTTGTAAATAATCATAAATGGTTTTTCAATTTTGTGACTAGATTGATGAAACACAAGTGGAGTTTGTAATGATTTTAATGGACATTGCAGAAGAGACTAATAATTTCTTAAGGAAAATGTGTGCTTTACTTGTTTAGGGTTTTTTGTTTTGTTTTTGGAGGGGGATATATGTCTCTAAAATAATTAAGAAATGGATCATATTCCAGAGAGGATTTTTCTCGCTGTATGGGAATAATTAAAAAATTTATTCAGTGGATTGTAAATTATTAATCACAGAAGTTAGAGCTGGAAATGCCTATTAGACAATCTAGTGTATTTCCCTGCTGGTGGGGGATTTAGTCCTCTGGCAGTGTCTGTATCAGATATTACACTTTAAATTCATCACAGAACATTTTAAATTTCTTTCTTTTGTCCTCTCCCCCTCCCCGTAAGAATTCATTTGATCGTAAGTGTACAGTGGAAAAAGTATGGATGTGTACATAATGCAGTTCACATCCATTATAATAAATGTCCAAGGATATCATAAAGAACGTATTCCTCTATACTTCTCCATAAGGCAAAGTTTAGAAGGTTTTTAAAGCACTATTAGACTTGCTTTACTGGCAAAAGGCACCGTAGATCTTTGCACAGTATCTCTTGCTACATATGGTAGCTCTTACTTCGGAAGGTTTGTAAAAGCAGAGCCTTCTTGGGCAAAGAGTGAATTACAGAGGCATGGAGGGATTTGCTGTGGGTTGGAACATTGATAGTGAGGCAATTAGGAACTCAAATTGAATATTAAAGATTGATATACATAATGGGAGCACTGCATGCATTACTGCCTTGTCTTTCACATTGAATTAACATTGGTAACAACTAAATTTGGTGACGCTCAGAATCTGTCAACAAATGTTGAGCAATGATGTCTTTAATATTCCCAGGCATGTGGCTGAAAACCTTTTGAAGGCTGAGGGGTGGAAGGCGGCTTCCTGTTTGTAAGTCAATTCTTTGCAAATTTTGTTTCCTGCAGTGCTCTCTTGGAAAAATTTGAGTTCCTTTATTAGCATATATTTTAGCATGGCTAATTTCCCCTGTGTTCCGTAATAGTGATAAGTGACTCGATCTCTTCTTTGTGATGAATAACTAAACCAAAGGAAAAATATTCTCCAATGCAAAAAGGCCCTGGGGTTAAATGTTCTCACATTTAGGGGGATGTTGGTTGGTTGGTTTTTGCTTTTTTTTTTTTTTTGTACATGTGCTTTGTAAAAAACAACACAGAGAAACATTGAAAAGGTGCAGCTTCACTGGATGCATGACCCATAGCAACGTGCAGTTCAGATTTGCCAGCTACATTTGTGTTGAATTTAAGAGATCTTAACTTTTGGGAATTGCCATGGAGTATTTAAATCCTGCACTGTGATACATTTAGTGGGACAATACAGTATATTTTCCCTTCATTAAATTTTGTTTTACTGCTAAAAGTGTTTGCATTTCCTGTCCCCTGGGAGCAGAGGCAAGTTCTTTGTCCACCTTGGGGACAGTTCTCAAATATGGGCATTCTAGTTAAGTCATTGATGCGCTCAATACTTACATCGCTACGCAGATGTTTCGACAGTGCCTGCTTTGTGGAGGTGAATCTGAGTTTCCGGGTGCTGGATGAGTGGTTCTGTTTAGACTTCACTGTTTTTGGGGTCATCTAAGGTGGGGTGGTGTTTTGGTTTTGTTTTTTTAAAAGGGGCTTTCTAAGATAATGCTCCTTTCTGGTGCAGTCCAGCTTTTCGTTAAAGGTGGGTAGACACCTCTTGGCTAGGTGAGCAGTTAATATGCATAGAATATCTTAAAGCAGTTCCTATAATCCCAGTGCAATGCATGCATGCAAGCCTGCAAAATGCAAATTTCTGTGCCACCAGGAAAAAGAAGTGTCCAGTGTAAGTACAAGTGCATGCAAGACGCGTGGCATCCATTTTTAACAAATCACAATACATATACATATGTTCTTGCATTTTAGGAGCTTCCCAGATTCTTCTTTGGTACAGTGACCTCCCATAGATAGAAAACTATGTTGGAAAGGAAGGGAACCCACTCTATTTTCTTTCAAATCTGAAATAATCTCACAAGTACATAGTGTTAGAGAATAAGCTTTTTGTGTGAGAACAACAGGTCTGAGATGTAAGAAAAAAGTGCACAGCGTGACAGGATCTTTTGTCAAAATCCTGCTTTTCTATTCTGTTTGTGGCAAAAGCTAACATGCTACCAAAATACTAAGTGTAAACTACATAAGGGATTTTTACTTTTAACGTGTAGTTATAAATAATCAAGAATTTGTGGGATCATTTGTTGAATCAAATCGTTGTGAAGACCGTAACTGAAAAAGATGTATTTCCTGCTTGACTCATTTTAGGTAAATGCTGCCATTTTGATAAAAATCATGTGATAGGGTTTAGGAAATAAAAAACCCCATCTTTATTTTAACCTGAATTTTAGTGACTGACATCTGTACGTGACCACCCTATGTTTATACAGTAGGTAAATAATACTGTAGGGGCCATCCATCAGTTTCATGATTTCCCAAGAACACAAACCCTTTCCTCTCCCGCCACCCCAAGAGGATACAAATTAGTGAACCAAGAAATGATGCTATCATGGCAGGCAGGCAGGCAGTCTCCTCATTTGGTATGCTGAAGGCATACATCTCACTCGGCTCCCACCCTCTCTCCCCTCCCCCTCCTGCATACTGTTTGTGCTCTTGATAACATGATGGGAATGATGACTGGCCCTTGTGCTGCAAACTTCTCTCCCTTCCCCATGGACTGACAGTCTCGATCTTGCTTTCAGGTGCATGCCAAATTCCGTTATCCTTTCTACTATGAAATGTGCTGGTATGTTCTGGAGAGATACGTGTCCTGTGTGACCCAGCGCTGCCACCTCAGCAAAGAGTACCAGAAAGAATCAATGTTAATTGGTGAGTGAATCCTTTGAGTGCATATTCAGAACAGATGCTACCACCTTAGGCTAGTTACTGCTTTGGTTTCTGCAAAGCAGATTACAAATTGAATCGAGAACTGTAGAAATTCAAATTAACTGTTTCTTTATTTTGGGGTGGGGAAGGTTTTGACTCTTAAGCATTTACATGAAGTACCAACCTACTTCGAATTATATTTATTGAGCATTCCCTTAGCAAGTGGATCCCAGAAAAATAATTTTTGAATGTGTTTGTTCCTTGGTTTCTAGTCATGCTTGTGTTGAGATGATCTGCCAAACAGTTGAGGATTTACTACCATGTTTGGCACAGTACCTTAGTAGCCAGAAGTGTGTGTGCATTGCAAATGTGCTCTGGTAGGGTGGATATCTAGTCCTTCTATAGAGCATCTCCTCTGCAGAATGTGTTCTGGTCACTAAACCTGCCTTCTTTCTCTTCTCTCTCTCTACTTGGTGACTGACTTCTAGTTCTGCAGAATAACAAAACCAAGAAACACCTGCACAAATCTACATGATCTATAACCTAAGTGCAGGGAGATCAAAGAAACCTTTAGAACAATAGCTGAAAATGGACCATAACAGAGACGGATAGATGTGCCCGAAGCGGGAAAGCATTACCTTTGCACTGATGTGAGCTTTACATCAATGTGTGACAATTCCAGTTGTTGCCTTGCTGAACTGCCCTCTTTTTCCTCCCTTTAATGGAACAAGGTGGTGGGCCATATTGCTTCCCTGCTTTTAAGCACAGAATGGGTGAAAGTAGCACAAGCACCAGCTAAATCTTAACTGCTACGTGTGAAGTGTGGAGGAGAAGTAAAGTATTTCTGTGCCTTCTGCTCCCTGAGATGCCACTTGGAGTGAACCTGGCATGGTTGGAACTGCCCCGGGTTCTGGACAGACGAGGGAAATGATCACCTACTAGCATAATTCTTAGTAGAAGGGATTTAAGAAGTTATGGGCAAACATCACGCTCCAGTGAGTTTTACTGACCAAGAATAACTTGAGGGAGCTAATAGTTGGTGTAGATAGACAAGGGCATTTTCCTGGAATCCCTAGAATTTGGGTGCTTCACATTTTGTATCTCTGCTCTGCGAGACCCTCATCAGAAGGGTTAGTTAAGAAGGAACTCTGTATGAAGGAATTTTTCTCTTTATGTAAGATCATCCTAGAGGAAAGGATGAAATAGCCCCTTGGATCAGCTCTTCAAAAAGCAGTGACAAAACTCCGATAAGTGCATTCCCTGGAAAATAAGGAACAACCTCCTGTTGTCTAAACCACCGGCATGGAAAGAGGCTCGTCCTGCAGGCAGGGTGGGGGTGCCAGATCGCTGAGGTGTAATTTCAGAACAAATTAGATGTGGAGAGTGGATGGTTCAGGATATTGAGATGGGACCTTTTTCAGCTAAATCACCAGTGTGAATTTCAGCCCAGCTCAGTAATTACTGATAATGGTTTGGTGATCCCCACAAAATGTGCCTCAGTCCAGTTACTAGCTGAGAGATACTCAAATCATATAAAAGCTCACTGGTAACCATAGATATCCAGTGTCTAGAGGGAAAAGGATTTTTTTTGCATGAGCAAAAAGTGCTAACTGCAAAGGCATCAGGAAAAGAAGCCTGGCTATTTGGAAAATGGTTTGGTGGCAGCATTGTCTGGGCCCTGTTGTCTCCTGTGGTGGCTTCTTGGCCTACTGGAAAGAGACTATTAACCTGTTTTGCTGTTGTTTGGGCAAGGCCCTATGGTCATTTCATGCTACTGTGAGAAACGTGCTGCTTCACAAGCCTATTCATTTCATGAACTCTAGAGATCGTGCGGTTGCCCTGTGAGCTGAATCAGTTCAGTGATCTGACTAAAAATGAACCCTACCGAAAAAATGAATATATTTGTTATCGGTAGGGTTGATGAGCTGATCTGACTTGCAGCCCTGCTGCATGGCTGCAGGTGCCGAGTCGAGGTAGTGCTGGGAGTGTCTGGCTGGGCAGATCTTGAGCTGTTGTTACTGTCTTGAATGGATCAGTACTTTCAGCTTACTGAAGTGGTATCTACTGACAGCATGTAGTTCATCCACCTGCCTGCTATCTCTTGACTTCAGAGTATTAGCATGCTGATAAAATCTCTGACATTGACATCCAGGGCCTTCCTCTCCAGGAGAGACAGATGTATACTCTTTTTTGTTAGAAACTTGCTTCTTATTTCTTGGCAGAATCTTAACCTTAAAAATATTTAACTGAGGATTGTGGTTCAAAAGCCCAGATCTACTACATCTGCCGGATCTTTCACTTTGGCATTTGTCAAATTCAAAGGAGTAAAAACTACATTATTTACCTTTACAAAGCTGTGCTGCTTTGTTCTGCATGAGTAATGTTGTTTCAAATACTGCTTGTCTTTTCTTTTAACTGGTCTCAATGTCCAGCCTCTGGACTCAAATCTCTACAAACTCTAATCCTTGAATTACACTTGTTTGTTCTGTGGTGTCTGTATCTTAATATCATTCGCCTGCTGTGGGATAGGAGATCCAAATGAGGTCAGTGTTCCAAAACCCCACCGCTTTGTTTTTAAGCTTTTCTTCAGAACTGCTAAGGTCCTTAAATTGTCTCTTCCTTAGAGACTTCTCTATCTGCAAGCAATTTCTTGATTTCCTATGAGAGAGTATCCCCTGACGAAGAATTTCCTATTATTCTCCTTTAGTAATGAAACAAAGTATTTAGCTTCTCTGCAGGCCCCTCAATAGATTTATCTTCTGTCCTTCTTGGTTTAAGAAAAAATTCTTCACATCCTTGTATTCATTTTCAGAAATTTCTCTTGAATAATCTTAATGTTTCTCCTATTTTTTTTTTTTTAATAATCTCCTTGACATAATTTGTTCTAAATGTCAACTTTCTACCTTTCCTTTTGGGTGCTAGAACTCGCTATTTTTCACCCTTGAGTTGTGCTGCTTTGTTTTCTCATATATCTTCTGATACAGTGGTCTTACTGGATCTCAGAAGCTAAGAAGCAAGAGTTGATTGATTGTTGAGGAGGAGGACATCCACCAGAGAGAGCGCAGGATGCTGCCCATGGTCTCTGGGATTCACAAGGTGGTAGTTTTCATAGAATTGGTAGAGGTCCTGTTCTCCTGCCTGAAAAAAAGATTACTGTCGTGATGGAGAATATCTTTGGAGAGCACAGACAATGAGTTCATCAGCAGCTCTGTGTTAAGGATATCTTTAGACTTTTCACGCTATGTTTTCATTACATGGTATTTATTTGCTTTGGCATGAAGGTTGCTAAATTCAGAGTGACTCTTTCAAGATGTTGCCTACTCATGAAAATGTATTGCTGTGATTGTGTTGTGATACCTCTGTCCTGATAGTTGTATGCTAGTGTAGCAACTTACATTGTTCTTTGTATTTCTGTTTTCTAAATGTCTCAACTTGCAAAACTTCCGACAGGGGAAAAAAAAACCCACCTCAGTGTAGACAAGACTAAAACCTTGAGTGTTCCCACTCCCTAAATAAAAATGTCTGCCCTTCTAAATGAGTTGGAAGATGATGACTGTGGCTTCCTTTCCCATTCCTGAGGCCCAGAATGAGTTTTCAGGCAGTTGCCTCCTAGTTAGTGCGTGAGACTGTTCTTTTTCAGATCTTTTCCGCAGAAGGGCAGACGCTCAGGGGAACGATGACATGACAGCAATCGCAGGCTGCTGTAAAAGCACACAATCTCTCCTCTCTCTTTTTTTTCTTTTCCTTGTCCCTCTCAACCGTGACATTTGTCCTGCTGGCTGAAATCAGAAAGAGATCCTATTTGGGTTTTCTACTAGATTTGAACATGCACTGTTTCAGGATGGGTATGTCTTCATTATTTTTACTCTTATAATGAATGAGTCTGTACTGGATGTTTTCAACCACGATTGACCTTCAGTGAGATATGGATCTTGAGAGTGAGCTGACAAAGAGTAATTGGGAGAAGATACTGGGCTATCAAAAATGTGCTTTCTGTGTAGCCTGCAGCTTTTAAGATTCCCATTGCTAAAATTTTAACAGGATGGCGAAAACCGTACATTAAGCCTGATGGATGAAGAAAATATGCCCTTTGGCATGGTGAAGGAGTCCCCCCCCCCCCCCTCTTCTCAGGGGGTAGAATAGATTTGCTTATGATAGACAGGTACTGGGCTGTATTGAGTGATTTCTGTGCGGGGTGCTCCATGCAGTGATACATTTCCAGTATGCTCAGGTTTTTTTCTGCTAATGAAAATGTCATTGCTGACTTTAGCAGACCAAGAGTAACTGCTGCTCCAAAGTCACTGTGTCAGGGTTTGGAGCTGGGAATGGGAAGGTAGATATTACACTCCGGACTGTTCTAAAGAGTTCAGAAAGATTTCATAATTATACCTCAGCCCTGTCCCTTTCTTTTAAGTTCTGCAATACAGCAAGTTGCTTTTCAGCAAGGAGAGAAACTGTGTATAATTATCCTTCTTGTAAAAGTGGATAGCTGTGGGGAAAGTTAAGTGATTTGCCCAGAACCACAGGGAAGTGAACGGCTATAGAAAAAAAGGTATTTCTAGCTCTCTGTCCTGTGGTCAAGTCTGTGCTACTCCTCCTCCTCACTGAGTTGTATCATTGACTGGTTTGTATAAGCTGTTTTATTTGCTTTGAGATGGAGAGGGGTGAAGGTCTTTTTGCACTAAGTCATATGGGAGCCCAGACTGGATAACCACTCTGAAACTGGAGTTCTAACCTGGTATTGGCTGGTGCATTCACTCAGAAGAAGGAACCACAGTTGCATGTAGCAGGAGCTTTTTTCCATGGAGAGACTTTATAAACCCAAAACCTCCAAGTCAGTGGAGCCCTGGTAATACAGTGCTTAAAATGCACTTCTTGACAAAGTGGATGCAGATTATGCTTATGTAGGGCCTCAGCTCACAGCATAGCAACTCTCAGTCAGATACTGTTTTCATTAAAATGAATAAATAAAAATCATGGCATGTTGCATTACAACAAAACACTTAAAAACACAAAATTGAACCCTCCTCACATTGAAGTTCCTTCCATTATTGATTCCCTTGGCTTTTTTTTTTTTAAATTAGCAGCAGTAGCAGACAGTTGTTGTCTTTTGAAAGCAGTCCACTCTTAATTTGATGGTGCAACAGTACTGTAATCCCCTAGCACTCCAGAATAGACCGATACACCTCAGGTTAATAGCAAGCCCTGTCCCCAAAGGTAAAGTTAGGCAAGGCATCATGTAACTGCCAGACTTGCAGAGAACAGGCCACAAAGCACTTGTTTGGCGATGGTTCATTTTGAGGTTAGATTTAGATTATTTTTTGTCTGTCCATAGCCAGGTGTGGCTGGCACTGCAGGGCCCACCTTGTGCAGATGGACGGTGGCAGGGAAGTGGTGGCAGCTGGCAGAACGGAATTGCTGACCCCGTTCCCCATGTGCTTGCTTCTGGTGGGAACAGGCCCCCAGTATGCTGTGGTGTTCCACTCCTCTCTTGCCTTTTGTTCTCTAGATTAGAGCAGGAGACAAAAAGTGGAGATCTCTCTTGAAGGCTGTTTTGTCACCCAGCGCATTACTTGGAGTCAATTATTCACACCTCCATAATGTGATCTCCCTCTCTTTCTTTAGGCCTTATCTATGCTCGCGATTTGCCCCAGTTACAGCCATTAGTTCCTGTTCAGCAGAGCCACAGCATAGGAAGACAGAAACATAATTTTATTTGTGTGGATTTATACCAATTTCTGTTAATGATGCTGTACTGGTAGCACAGGGATGTGTATCTGCTTTCACCTTCTCCTGTTTTATCACTGGCATCCTCTCCCATCTAGGCTGGGCTTTTGTGCTACAGTTGACTGTAAAATAGCTCACCAAGGCAGTGTGGCTTAGAGAAGGGGCTCCAGCCCTGGATCCAAGAGCCTGGATTCTGATTCCTGGTTTTGCCCTGGATTTGATGTGTGACAATGAGCAAATCGTGCTTTCTCCCAAGCATCTGTTTCCTCAGCTGTAAAACGGGAGAATGACATAAGCTGATTATATAGCCCTTTGAGGTGGGTAAGCGTGCTAGCTACTGTGGACAAAGGAAAAAACAGTGTTAAATAAAAGTTGGATAACCTAGTGGGTTTTAAATGTTCTGGTTAAGGTATCTTCTAATCCCCCATTTTTCTAAGAGAAGCATGGGGGTGTATTAGCACAGACCAGAGAGGAGGAGCTGCTTTGGAGTGTTGCATGCCACCACCTCGGCACACAAACTGTGCTGTGCTTCATGGTGAAACTTTTTTAGAGGGATGCAGGGAGGAAGTTAGCTTGCACTGTGGATGGAGCTGGATTTCGCTGTGACCAGCCTCGCTGGTAGCTGGTATTTTTTGTGACTACCATCATTTCACAGGCATTTCAGCTTAAATGTGCTCTTCAGGAGTATTTTTATGGCCATTTTGGTTCTGAGGAAAAATGCAAATGTGACTGAAGGAGTAGACTGGACAAAGATGCTTGTTTTTTTGGTCCGCCACCCC